CACGTTGCCCAGGCTGCTCTCAAACTCCTGGGCTCAAGCAATCTTCCTGCCTTGGCCTCCCAAAGTGTTGGGATTACAGGCATGAGCCACCTCGCCCAGCTGAGAGATATTTAAACGTATTTTTTAAAAACTATTTTAACATAGTTATTAACTGCACGTTTGTGTACTGTCCTTGGCTGGCATGGAGCTAACATTATAAGACAGAGGTCCCTTGTGATATTATCGTAATGCTGTTGCCAAAATGTTCATTCATTCATTTATTCAGTAAGTATTTGATTGACTATAACATGCCAGGCATAATTTAACTTGCTGGTGATAGAGCAATGAGCAAAACATTAAATAACCCCTGCCCTCAAGAAGTTTGCATTCTAGCTGACTTTGGGTGAGCAGGCAGGAAGCATAATAAATAAGAAAATGACTGAATACAGGAGAGGGTGAGGGTGCTATGGAGCAGAGCTGAGCTAGGCAGTGAGAGGAGGGGGCATTGTAAGAAGGGTGCAGGGTAGGCCTCCCTGAAGGTGTCATTTGAGTGAATGCTTGAAGGAAGCTGGGGTGAGACATGCAGATGTCTAGGGAAGAACATCCCCACTCAGGCCTTGAGGTGTGATTGTCCAGGGAAGTGGTTCCCTTAGGCCTTGTTGGCCTCTGGAGGGCCCCTGGCTTTTGCTCTGAATGAAATGGGAGCCGTTGGAGGGTGTGAGTTGAGAGTAGTTGCTCAACTTGTATCTCATAGCTGTCTTCTTTCCCCACCGTCCTTGCTTTCCTCCATCCTTCTTCCTTCCCTCTCTTCCTTCCTTCTTTCCTTCCTTTTAACCTTCTTCCTTTCCTTTTTTTTTTGGAATGTTCCATTTCTTTTATAATACACAGAGAATACAGAAGGGAGGAAAAAGGGAATACACTTTTAACTAAAAGAGTCGACGATTTTATTTTCACACTTCCCGATACAAAGGAAAACAGCATCTGTGTTGTCCTACTTCTCCCCTCCAAAACTACTCTCTGATAGGACCGGGGAGCAGGTCTTCCTTATGCTGTTTAGAAAACCCACATCGCAGCAGCAGGATCTCCTGTGAAGCAGAACAGGTAACACAAAACTGATATAATGAGACCTCCCCTCTATCCTTATCTGTCTAGTCGAGTCATTCCGAGCTGAGTGGCACCATCATGGGACGGGCAGGAGGTCTCATCATTGGGTGCCCAGGCGTCACTAGCATGTGGCCTCCCATGGGTGGCCTCATTCCAGGAGCAGGTCCCACTGGCATCCTGGGAGGAGGAGGGCCCATCATTGGCATCACGGGAAGGCCCCCCATACGGGGTGCTGGCATCATACCAAGGTGAGGAGGTCCCAGAAGACGGGGGAGGTGGTGTCATTGCCCCTGCAGGAAGAGGAGCAGAGAATGGAGATGTCTTTCCTTGTTGAAATGCAGCTGTTGCTTTGTCAATCAGGCTCCGAGCCGGCTCTTCCATCCCTTTCTGATAGCTTCTTTCACATTCTCTTTGTGTTTCCTGCCACTGCAGTGCGTCTTTCCCACAGATGGAGAGTCCTGGGTGAGGTACGTATCGCGGTGGTCACAACAAAACTTGGGCATGTTGCTCTGTAGGCCGTTGGCCACTCCATTCCGTGATGCCTGGAATCCTTTCTTTTCTTTCATCTCTCTCTCTCTTTTTTTTTTTTTTTTTAGACAATTAGGTATTTGAATATCCTCTTTTGCCATGTGTCTGTTCATGTCTTCTGACCTTTCTTGTTTCTTTTTTTTTTGAGACAGGATTTTACTCTGTTGCCCAGGCTGGAGTGTAGTAGGGCAATCTCGGCTCACGGCAGCCTCTGCCTCCCAGTTTCTAGCGAATCTCATGCCTCAGCCTCTGGGGTAGCTGGGACGACAGGCATGTGCCCCCACGGCCCAGCTGATTTTTGTATTTTTGGTAGAGACGGGGTTTGGCTATGTTGGCCACGTTTCATCTCTCTCTTTTTTTCTTTCTCTTCCCCTTCATTTTCCTCTTCCTTTCTTTCTCCTTCTCCTTCTAATGGATCAACAGGAAATGTTTTCCGCATATTGCAGTGTAAGGGTCAGCTGCGTTCCTGAGAGTTGAGAGGGAAGATTAGGAAAGATTATTTAAAGTGTGACTGGTGTGATTTCTAAAGCTATGTTCATTGTGTTGTCAGCCAGAATGCTAGTCTAGATCAACTCCCAGATCAAAGCGAGCGCGCCTTTTTGGCAGTGGACTATTGGGTTGACGAAGCCTGACTTGGGTGTCTGTATAACTTTCTCAAAGCACTAGCTGACCTTGGAGCACTTGCCACAGTTAGTTACTACCCTCCGATTACATGATTGTGTGGCTAATAGCTATTTCCTCCACTGGGTCATAAGATCCATGAAGGCAAAAGCCTTGCTGTTGTTTTGAAAATCAGCATCGCTGAGCAAGGGGACTCATGGCTATAATCTCAGCACTTTGGAAGGCCAAAGTGAGAGAATTGCCTGAGGCCAGGAGTTTGAGACCAGCCTGACCAAGACAGTGAGACATTGTCTCTAAAAAAAAAATTAGCTGGGTGTGGTGCCTCACCTGTAATCCTAGCTACTTGGGAGGCTGAGGTAGGAAAAACATTTGAGTCCAGGAGTTCGAGGCTGAAGTGAGCTGTGATTGTGCCACTGTACTCCAGCCTGGGAGACACAGTGAAAAAAAAAATGAAAATAAGTCCAGGCATGGTGCTGAGATCACACCTGTAATCTCAGCCCTTTGGAGGCCAAGATGGGCGGATCACAAAGTCAGGAGATCGAGACCATCCTGGCTAACACGGTGAAATCCCGTCTCTACTAAAAATACAAAAAATTAGCTGGGTGTGGTTGTATGCACCTATAGTCCCAGCTACTCCGGAGGCTCAGGCAGGAAAATCACTTCTTGAACCCGGGGAGGCGGAGGGAGATTGCAGTGAGCCGAGATCGTGCCACTGCACTCCAGCCTGGTGACAGAGCGAGACTCTGTCTCGGAAAAAAACAAAAGGAAAGGAAAGAAAAGAAAAGAGAAGAGAAGAGAAAGAAAAGAAATTACCATTGTATCACGAGAATCTGCTACAGTGTACTGTACACTTAATAAATATTGGTTGAATGAATTGAATCAGAGTGACTATTTTTATTTTTTTATTACCTCAATGCCAGACCCTATGTTATGAAACCTCTGTTAGGAAAGCCACAAGCAGATATATTGTTGAATGAAAATCTGTGTGTTTAAGAACATGTTGTAAGACTGCATTTTATGCTAGCAAGATATGGACCATGGAGCCTGGCTGATGCCGTGATTTAGCAGTTGTCTGAAATTTCCCACCCTGCTAATGTGACGTGAAATTTCAGAGGAATGGGAAATTTTAATAAGAAACCCATTTGTGTGTGTGTGTGTGTGTAAATGAAAGAGTTCAGGAGATTCAATTAGCTGTTTTTTTAACCTTAATTATTTTTTATTATATTTAATATGAATATGTAAAAATACAAGCCTATAATCTCTCTTTATACAGACCTTGTTCAACTGTAAAATAAGATTAATGTATCTTTTAATTCAAACAAAGTTGTGAAACCAATCTAATTTAAATTAACAGTGTCAGTGAAGCAAATTTGCACCTAACCTTGACAATCTTCCTGCTTGCCCCTCCCCTCCTCTGTTGTCTTTGGCAGTCTCTGTTTTGGAGTCAATGCAATTCTGCTAATGCTTTTCTTTATTCAGAATATTGCAAAATACGTATTTCTTCTGTGGTCTGCAAGGAAATTTACCTTCACCAGGTTAAAAATAATCCGGCTGGGTGCAGTGGCTCAAGCTTGTAATCCCAGGCCAAGGTGGGTGGATCACAAGGTTAGAGATGGAGACCATCCTGGCTAACACAGTGAAACCCTGTCTCTACTAAAAATACAAAGAATTAGCCAGGTGCGGTGGCATGTGCCTGTAGTCCCAGCTACTCGGGTGGCTGAGGCAGGAGAATCGCTTGAATCTGGGAGGCAGAGGTTGCAGTGAGCTGAGATCGCTCCACTACACTGCAGCCTGGGTGACAGAGCAGGACTCTGTCTCAAAAAAAAAAAAAAAAAAAAAAAAAATCCTTGGGCTGGGCATGGTGGCTTAGTCCTGTAATCCCAGCACTTTGGGAGGCTGAGGCAGGTGGATTACTTGAGGTCAGAAGTTCAAGGCCAGCCTGGCCAACATAGTGAAACCCTGTCTGTACTGAAAATACAAAAAAATTAGCCAGATATGGTGGTACGCATCTGCAGTCTCAGCTACTTGGGAAGCTGTGGTGGAAGAATCACTTGACCTGAGAGGCAGAGGTTGCATGAGCTGAGATGGCGCCACTGCACTGCAGCCTGAGCGACAGAGACTCTGTCCCCACTCCCCCCACAAAAAATCCTTGATATATTAAGTCTATCTCTGCATAGCCCACCAAACCTAAAGTGATATTAGTGATTTTACCTGATGACCATGTAATCAAGAAGCACAACCACAAATGAAATCAGATACCCAAATCACCCAGAGCGTGCCTGCATTCACAATGTTAGATTAGTACTGAAATGAAGAAGTACAAATTTAATACTCTAGGCAGAAAACTTGAGAGTCTCCAAAAATATATCAGAGAGCAGTAGCTTAAAAACATTAGGCTAAATAGTACTGCCTATATATTCAGATCCAAATAATAAATTTGGTATTTTTTTCTTTACGTATGTGCTCATGTATGTAGGGTGTGTGTGTGAGAGAGAGAGAGAGAGAAAGGGAAAGAGATGGAGGGAGAGAGAGGAGTTATTCTTTTTTTTTTTTTTTTTTGAGACAGGGTCTCACTATGTCACCCAGGCTGGGTTGCAGTGGCATGAACATGGCTCACTGTAGCCTTGACCTCCAGGGCTCAGGTGATCCTCTCATCTCAGCCTCCTGAGTAGGTGGGACTACAGGCACCTGCTACCACGCCTGGCTAATATTTTGTAGAGACAGAGTTTCGCCATGTTGCCCAGGCTGGTCTCAATCTCCTGGGTTCAAGCAATCCACCTGTCTCGGCCTCCAAAGTGCTGGGATTACAAGCGTGACCCACTGCGCCTAGCCTCCAAAAGTTATTCTTTAAATATAATTGTTTAAGCTGATTCTTACATTTTGATGGATATATAATTTCTTAGGGAGTTTTTGGAAAAGAGTTAGGCAGTGTGTTAGCCTCTGGTTATTTTCTAGATTTTTAACATTAAATTGGACTCCTTGAGATGAAAGATACTCTGTAGGTCTAGTAAATAAATACAACAACTTGCAAGTGAGTGTCTTGGGTAAATGCCAGTACTATTGTTTATTTTTTTCCACTTAGGTAATATATTTAAATATTTGTTTGAGACAGTGTTTACCATATTGTTATATTCTAGGCCATTCATTAGATAGTTTATTTAAAACTTACTGGTGTTTATATTGTAATAAACAAGTTAATTATCTGTTTTTGTTCTTTCATAATTGTCATGAGACACACTTCAGTTAAAACGTCATTCCTTTTTTTTCTTCAACTTTACACAAACATTTTTGAAGTGTTATGTGAATTCTTCAAAAATACAGTATATATTTACTACTGCCAGAGAATGTATGCGTTTTAAATTTGAGTATTTTAACTCTAACATCTGTGAACATTTGAGATATGTTTATGTTTCAAAATTAAATTGTGAAATTAATGTGGAATCTACATCTGGAAAATGTATAGGAGTCTCAAAATTTAGATGACCATATTAAGGAAAAATACAGGGACTTCAAATTCAATTTTATGTTTTATTTTCTAGTTCTGGCCTATGGAGTAGTTTAGGAATACAGTATATTAGCTCTTAATTAGCAAAGTACACAAATGCTAAAATTCAGTTTTTAATTTAATTCCAATGAACTATATTGTAGGTAGATCATGGGATGAAAACTTTAACATGTAAAATTCTATTTCATATTTTAAAGCCATGACTATTTTGAGACCCTCACTGTTACTTGATTATTTTTAGTTTTCAATTAGATGTTTAGTGTTACATAGACCTGGCCACAGAGTAGCATAGCAAATAGATGTATTTACTCACGTAGAATGTGGGCCAGCATGATATCCTTGGCGTCATGCCTGTTACCATAGTTTTTGCTCACTGTTTTTACTAGAGCCCTACTGTCTACTTAGCATAAGCTTAACAAGGGGAAAAGAAGTCAACCTTTTGGAGGGAATAATGGATTTGCGTGTGTGTGTGTGTGTGTACTTGCAATTACACGATTTTAATTGTGTACAACACTAATTTGTTGAAACACTGTAGAGTATATAAGCACAAACTTAAAAAAAATCATGTTAGAAATTTCATTCACATTTTGCATTTTTCAGGGTGCTAATAGATAAGCACCCACACTCAGGTGAACACTGAGTGAGAAGCATGCTGATCCATGAGACTGAGAGTTGGTCCAAACTGAAGGGGGACCACTAGGGTGTTTTAATTGCAAAGGAGAAGAAATGCCACTCAAGCCAGCTTTAAAGAGAAAATGGAATGACTCACATACAAAAATCCAGGGCTCTGGTGCAGTTTGGGGCTGTTCGATCCAGCGGCTCAGTGTGGTCTTCGAGCATCCAGGTATCTTCTGTCTGCCTGTTCGGACATCTGCAATATCAGTTTCACCCACAGACTAGTTTTCTGAGTGGTTGTGGTTTGGCTGCAGCTGAGTCAGGGCTTTGTGCTTCTCTGTTCACATCCAGTGGGAGAGAGTTTTATGTCTTGTGGTTCTCTGAAGAGGAGAAACCCAGAAACCCAAACTTCTTGCATTGTGTTGGTTTGAATTGAGCCACATGCCCATTTCTGAACCAATTCATTCCCGGACGGGCTTAGGCCTAGGTTCCTGAACCAATCTCTACTTAGAGGACCAAATTACAATTGCTTAGTGTGGACCAGTTAGAGTCTGTCCATGGAGCTGGTACCAATCACTCAAACCATGCTATTGCAACACAGTGGGTGGGGGCGAGGAGGCCAACCCTCTAGCCCTGTATTTGTTGCAGCATGGGGAGGGAAAGAAGGGAAGATAATAGAATACCACTCTTCAGCAAAAGGCACAAATCCAACTAAAGACCCAGACTTTCTTTTTCACTTCGTTTCTTTCCATTCTTTTTCTTTGCCTATTGAGTAGGCTGCAGAAGCTGCTGTTTGGGAGCTTATGAGCTCATTCTGGCTGCTGGTTATTCCCACTGCTGCTCCATTCTGGTCTGAAGATGGATTGTCCATTTGAACTCATGATTTCCTGCACAGTCACTGCTTAAATACCAGACATATTCGAATCAGCTTAGGCCTTTGGCCAGTGGTATCTGTGTCTTTTCTTCCTAAATCATGATGGGCTCAAACCTGCTTTAAAGTACATCTGCTTATTTGACTTCCTGAAATTATTAAAATCAGGCAGTGACTTGGGCTTAGACCCTCAGGCTTCATCCGCCCCATGGGTCTGGATGGATTCTGGTCTAGTTCTTTCCCTGTTATTCTGTCCTGTCCCATCTGAGCCTGACAGGCCATCTCTCTTTCTCCGCAGTCTCCAGCAGAGTCCTCCTTAACTCTCACAGCCCCAGGACAGGACTCTTGCAGCCTACCCCTCTCTGTGGGCACAGTTTGAGGTGCCACTTGTCAAGAGCCACCAAACCGACGTGGCATGGTCTGTGGCTCCCAGCCCCTTGTCCACCATCCTCAGTCCCTCGGTTTCCACACCCTTACTCCACACCACGGCCGCTGCATTATGATGCAGTTTCCCAAGCCCATCTGCTCTCTGGTCTGTGCACAAAGGTCCCCAATTATCCATGAAACCAGGCCATGCCCGTTCCTCAAGACTGTGCTCAAGCATCAGCTCTTTCTGGAAAGGATGCTGCATTTCTCACACCCAATGTCCTGTGCTTCGGGACAACTTCCTGTTCCCCCACACATAGCCTCAAGCACAGGATCCTCTCCTGCTCTCATTGTCTGAATGATCCAAATAGAACGTGAATGAATTTGTTACTTTATCAGCTGGCCAGTTTAGAGACTATGAGGTTTTGTTCATCAAGCATTCAAAGATCATGAGATCCCCTTGTTAGAGGAATCTCTCTCTCTCCTGCAAACCAGGAAGCAGCATGTGGGAACAGAAAAGACCCGGGTGAGAGTGGAGGTCAGTGAGGTGGAGGGAGCACGGGGAGTAGGCACAGCAGGTGGTGGGTTCTTGCTGCCTGCAGGTGGTACCGTAGGACTGTCACTGGTTGCCTGGCCCCAGAGTGGCTCTGCTGGTTGTCGTAGTGCCATCAGTGTGAAGGCTGTGTTCAACTTCTCTGCAAGTGGGTGGATTCCTCTGGTGATGGAGGACAGGCTCCACAGCTAACAGCTAATGCATGTACTCTCAACAGAGTGACATCATCCCTGGGGCAAAAGTTTATTCAAAAGTTGGGGCAAAAAATCTTGGAAATGCCAGTGATTTATGGTCCTCTAAAGTCCTTCAGTCCATGACCAATATGCAGTAGATCTGTGTATTACCGAAGCAGCTCACTGTCTGGGGTGACACCTGAGGTTTTTTTCTCATGGCCACAGAGATCAAGGATGTGGACATACAAAGGGTGAGGTTAAGAGTAGAAATTTAATCGGTAAAAGAACGAGACTATCGCTCTGCTACAGAGAGGGGTCGTTGCCTATCCACAGTGAGATGCGGGGTTTTTATAAATGAGCTAGTGGGGAGGTGGTGTCTGATCTACACAGGACATGAAAAACCAGTTAGAACCAGGTGTGCTGTCTGCATAGGGCGTGAATCTCTGGCAGCCCCCACCCCAATCTTTTATTATGCAGGTGGGTTCTCTGCCTGAGCTTCTCTATGTTGTCCATTTCTTACTGTACACATGCTAACAAAAAAGGGGAGGTGGAGCTTCCACAGTGGACATGCCTGGCCCCAGGCAGCCTTTTTCTGTTGGTGCAGCTGCGGCATTCCCCATGCAAGCTTTCAGCTTCCTTCTCTGTGTTTGCAGCTCAATCTTTCTGCCTGCTCGTTGTAAGAAGAAAATGGTTTATTGGGCTGCTTTTTGTTAGAAGGGAAGTTCTGCTGAGGACTCTTTTGCCCTCACTATCTGCCTAAATAATTTCTTTCTATCTCTTGTATCATTACTACTTTATGGCAGGGAGTAATTAGGAAATAAATGTCTAAAAGGTTTCTTGAGAAAAGGGTGGCAATGATATGAAGGTTGAGAAAAACTGGGCTAATGAGTGGTCTGTAAGCCAAGGAAGAGGAATTCTGACCAGGGATACGATGGAAAGTAATGAAGTTTCTCCATGCCAAAAGGCACCTGGCCCTGAGGGTGAGTGGGGCTGAGCTCAGCTGCTGTGGAATGCAGCCCTGATTCTTATCCACCCAGAGAAGACCCCTCCTTTAGTTTGCACGTGGCAACTGGGGTGCTTCTGGTTGCCTTGGTCTGCCTGCCCTGCTGCTTGCACTTGGCTGTGTTGGGAGGTTCTGGCTAAAAGAAAATCAAGAAGTTTGCCTATCCATTGCCTGGCATATTTTTATTGGGCATTTTTTCTTGTATTATTATTTGTAAGTTTTTAAAAAGTTTAAAGTTTTTAAAATAAGAGTTGGATTATGGGCAGGCCAGCCCAGCAGGGATCTGATTCACAGAGGGCACTGCAATCAATCAGAAATGTGACCTCAGGACATGTGAGTCCTTCTATCACTGGAGACTTAGTGGTCCTGCTCCCGCAGGTGCAGAAAAATGCTTCTGCAGGAAAGAAGGAGGTGGTGTGGGAGCGAGAAGACACCAACTGGTCCCTGTGCTTTTGTCACTGCAGGTGCTCAAGAGGCTCTCAGTTGAAAGTCAAGGCCAGCTGAAGCTCAGATGCATGTCTCTGTCCTGTTTCCTGGGAATCAGTTATATTATTCTCAGTAGAAACCCTTTCATTTGCCTTCTGGATCATCTAATCCTGAAAGTCCCAAAGGAAAACTAAAGAGAGAACAAAAACTGCAGAAAAGTAAGAAACTTGATTTTGGGGAAAAAATTATGTTTTTCCCCAAAACATTCACTCTGTATTGGCCTGGGGAAAAGGATTAGTCATGAACATGTATTATTTATTTATTTATTTATTTTCTTGTGCTGAGATGCCTTTGAATGTTTTTTATTTTTAAAGACAGGGTCTTGCCCTATTGCCCAGGCTGGAGTGCAGTGGTGTGATCATAATTCACTGCAACCTTGAACTCCTGGGATCAAGGAACCCTTCCTGCTCAGCCTCCTGAGCAGCTTGGGACTATAGGCATGCACCACCACACCCAGCTAATTTTGTTGGTTTTTTTTTTTTGTAGAGAGAGAATCTTGCTCTTTCCCAGGCTGGTGTTGAACTCATGGCCTCAAGTGATACTCCTGCCTTGGCCTCCCCAAATGCTGGGATGACAGGCATGAGTCATTGCTCCTTGTCTTTACTGATAATTTTAACCTCTTTTCTTCTTTCCACATTTGAGTCTTTGATCAACCTGGTATTTATTTCACAAGTGTGTATCTACTTTAACTTTTAAATAGGAAAAGTCAGCTGCCCAAAACCACTAATTGAATGATCACCAGTTCTCCGCTGGTTGGTAATACCATCTTTATCCTACATCGTTTCCAAATATACATATACGTATACTTATATATAACATATTCATTACATATTATATTAATATTTATACTTTATATACTTATACACATACAGGTCAAATTATGGGCTCACTGTTCTGATTCACTGATCTTTTTTTTAATCAAGACTTGCACAGACGCCAAACTGTTTTTTCAAACGAGTTTCATTGAGGTATATTTTGTTAATTATACATTGCACATATTGTATAATTGTTAATTGCACAATATGTTGCACATATTTATAGTTTCATAAGTTTTGACTTTGATACCCATGAAGCCAGTCCTACAGTCACAGCCGTGGCATCGCCCCTGAAAGTTTCCTCGTGCCCTTGGCAATCCTTTTCTTTTCCCTCTCCAACTCCAGGTCCCTGGCAACTGATAATTTCCTTTCATAGGGGTGGAGAGACCTTTCTTTCCATCCTCTAATGGATCAATAATTTAAGCCTCTGGAATCAACTAACAGTAGACAAACAGGAGAAGAGGCATACAAGTTTATTATGTACACATGCGCACAGGAATCACACAAAATACTAGACTCAAAAACGGGCCAGATGGTTGAAGCTTAAATAGCATTCTGAGCTACAGAAAGAAATGGGAGAAGGAAATGGGGCTTGGAGGCTCCTGAAGAGTGATGGTGACAAGCTGTGGGAGAGTTGGGGGAGAAATTGCACTGAGAACAAAGGCAGTCTTGTTATGCAGGCAATCTCTCAGGTAGCCACCTTCGGAAAAATAGGTGAGAGTGTCTCTGGGCCTGGTGACCTGGATGGAATTTTTGCCTCCTCTCCTGCAATACAAGTTCAACTTCTCTGGTTAATGTAGATTTCAGGAAAAGGGTTCATGACAATGGCATTCTTTCTGGAGGAACTTCCCTTAGCCAGATAAATAAAACTTCAGAGAAAGCTGCTTCCCTTGCTTTGAGAGAGAAAGAGGATAGAGAGACAGCAGGGTGGAGAAAGGTCAGAGAGACCTTGGTTCTGAGGCTGCTTCTTTAGTTCAAAGCACTCAGCATGTCAACGTGCCATACTTTGGATATCATTCTCTGAGCCCCAGCACTTTCCATCACTGTGCAGTTTGCACTTTGTAGAACTCAAGTCAATGGAATCATACAGTAGGCACTTCTTTTTTGACATCTGACAAAGGGCTAATATCCAGAATCTACAAAGAACTAAAACAGATTTACAAGAAAAAAACAAACCCATTCAAAAGTGGGCAAAGGATATGAACAGACATTTTTCAAAAGGAAACATATATGAAGCCAACAAACATATGAAAAAATGCTTATCACCACTGGTCATTAGATAAATGCAAATCAAACCCACATTGAGATACCATCTCATGCCAGTTAGAATGGCGATCATTAAAAAACCTGAAGACAACAGATGCTGGAGAAGATGTGGAGAAATAGGAACACTTTTACACTGTTGGTGGGAGTGTAAATTAGTTCAACCATTGTGGAAGACAGTGTGGTGATTCCTCAAGGGTCTAGAAATAGAAATTCCATTTGACCCAGCAATCCCATTACTGGGTCTATACCCAAAGGACTATAAATCGTTCTATTATAAAGACACATGCACACGCATGTTCATTGCAGCACTGTTTACAATAGCAAAGACCTGGAACCAACCCAAATGCCCATCGATGATAGACTGGACAAGGAAAATGTGGCACATATACACCATGGAATACTATGCAGCCATAAAAAACGATGAGTTTGTGTTCTTTGTAGGGACATGGGTGAACCTGGAAATGATCATTCTCAGCAAACTGACACAAAACCAGAAAAACAAACACCACATGTTCCCACTCACAGGTAGGTGTTGAACAATGAGAACACTTGGACACAAAGAGGGGAGCATCACACACTGGGGTCCGTTGGGGGGTACGACGGGAGGGATAGTGGGAGGGAGGGTGGGGGAGGGATAACATGGGGAGAAGTGTTAGGTATAGGTGATGGGAGGTTGTAGCAACAAACCATCTTGCCATGAATGTACCTATGCAACAATCCGGCATGATCTGTACATGTACCCCAGAATCTAAAGTACAATAGTAATAATAATAATAAAGACAGGATGTACTTTCTCCTTTATTAGAGAAACTCTTGTTAGCTCAGAGATGGCACTAGAGAAACCTGTGAACAGACTGTCTTCTCCTATATTTACCTCTCCACAGTTTCCTATCTTTGGAAGCCTGGGGCTGTTTTATTTTGTCTTGTCACATCTCCAAAATTTATTGTTTTTTTTGTTGTTGTTGTCGTTGTTAGATATAGTATATAAGCCACATTCCTAAACTACTGCCGGAGTCACTTTCCATTGAGGCACTGCACACACTAGTAAATTGATTTGTTTCTCTCTTGTTAATCTGTCTCTCTCAACTGCAAACTTTTTTTTGAGACAGAATCTTGCTCTGTGGCCCAGACTTCAGTGCGGTGGCATGATCTTGCTTCCTGGATTCAAGCGATTCTTGTGCCTCAGCCTCCTGAGTAGCTGGGATTACAGGCATGTGCCACCACATCTGGCTAATTTTTGTATTTTTAATAGAAATGAGATTTTACCATGTTGGCCTGGCTGGTCTTGAACTCCTGGTCTCAAGTATTCTGCCTGCCTTGGCCTCCCGAGTGTGGGGATTATAAGCATGAGCCACTGTGCCCAGCCTAACGACAAACTTTTGTGTGCTGAAAATATTTTTTTCTCATTCACTACATTTTTAATTATTATAAAGAAGGTGATATGAACATTTATGTACAAGTTTTGTTTGGACATATATTTTAATTTCTCTTGGATAAATAAATAGTTATGGAATGACTCCCAAAGAAACTTTCTGCCAACACTTGCCCACATATCACCAACACTTGGAATGATCAATTCTCCTTTTTTTTTTTGAGTCAGAATCTTGCTCTGTTGCCCAGGCTGGAGTGCAGTGGCTGGATCTCGGCTCTCTGCAACCTCCGCCTCCCGTGTTCCCGCAATTCCCCTGCCTCAGCCTCCCAAGTAGCTGGGACTACAGGCATATGCCACCATGCCTGGCTAATTTTTGTATTTTTTAGTAGAGCCAGGGTTTTGCCCTATTGGCCAGGCTGGTCTTGGACTCTTGACGTCTTGATCCACCTACCTCGGCCTCCCAAAGTGCTGGGATTACAGGCGTGAGCCACCGTACCCCAGGGATCAATTCTTTTTAGTATGTAGTGACATATCATTATAGGTTTTTCTTTTTTCTTTTTTGAGATGGCGTGTTACTCTGTCTCCGAGGCCAGAGTGCAGTGGCACAGTCTCTGCTCACTGCAGTCTTGACCTCTGAGGCTCAAACAATCCTCCTACCTCAGACCCCTGAGTAGCTGGGATGACAGCATGTGCCACCATGCCCAACTACTTTTTGTATTTTTTTGTAGAGATGAGGTTTTGCCATTTGCCCAGACTCTCATGTTGAACATCTTTTCACATGATAATTTGCTATCTTTGTATCTTCTTTGGTAAGCTGTCTGTTCAAAACTTTGTCTAAGTATTTTTATTGGGTTGTTTTCTTATTTTTGAGTGTTGTGCCCTTTATATTTTCTACATGTAAATACTTGATCATATATGTGATTTTCAATTTTTTTTTCAGTTTGTGACTTCTCTAGCTTTTTCCTAAAATATGCTTCCTGGTTTAGTGGCATCCAATAAATATTGATATATTATGTTTTTGTTGTTAGTACTAAATATTTTGTAACTTTCATGTAGGCTTTTCCTTAACCTTCAAATTATTTCAGAAATCTGCCTTTTAATTTCTAAAGGTATTTTTATGTTTTCAATTACAAAGCTACTATTGTTTGTAATTTTATTGCAAACAATAGTCTGGTTTATGTGATACAATTTTTTGGGCTGTGTTGAGAATAGGTTTCACAGAAGATTGCATATTGTGTTTATTGGGATGTACATCAGGCTACTGATTGTATTGCTTGAATCATTTGTGCTCTTATGCTTAATGGAACAGTTTCTGATGGAGATGTGTTAAAAAAACCACTATGATTATGAATTTGTCAATTTCTACATTTACATTCTGGTGATTTTTGGCGTATGTATTTCAAGGATATTTTGTTAGGTGAAGCAAATTTATGATTTCTATATCTTATTAGTTATCTTTTCCTTTGATGATTATCTTCCTCATTATCTTTATTAGTATTGTTGGCCTTCATTCTGTTTAAATTAGTAGGATTAAATTGACCTTATTTTCAAATTTTTATGCCCATTTTTTGAATAAAAAGCCCAGATATTCTATAAAAAAACGTCTGGGAGTTTCTGTCTTTTAACTAGTGATCAAAATATATTTACGTTTATTATAATTATGCATGTGGACTTCTTTCTATCATTTTATTTTGTGTTGACTATG